CGACGACGATCAAATAACATCAAAGTTTTGTCATGTGAGAATGTTATTTTGATAGGTAGCAAAAATTGATTCTTATTACGTAAGTTCATTACAGGATGATTAAAAACTAATACACTGGCAGTAGTTTATTTATACATTTCTCAAAATTCCTTCGCTGGACCATTTGTTAATCACTTGTTTCTGTATTCGATCAATATCATATAATTTTTTAAATAATGGTAAACATTTATATAACAACATAAAATAATTTTTTTCAATATAATTCTTTTGTATGATATTGTTCGAATCAAGAAGTATTTCACTTATTCCCGTTTTTTAAAGTTATCATCATTTTTGTTAAAATGGAAAAAAAAGAAAGAAGAAAAAAACATATGTTACAATTTTTTTTTATATGAATGACATATATCAAAAAAATTTTTTTATGCGCACAAATATTATAATGAACATAAAAATTCTTTCATGTATGAATTTATTTCAGGCCTATTTGAAACTTTTATATTTAAATATTATCATTAAATATTAATGTTAAAAGGTGGTTCAAATTACTGGTATCACTTAGATGACATAAATATCAACTTTTAAATATGTTGATCTAGAAAATCACAAGATTTAGCGAAGATTATGCGTTATCTGAATTAATTATATCTTTTAATATTCTTCAATGTTTCAAAATCTGGATAATTGATAGATACTATCAACAATTCATAGAAGTTCAGATTATATGTAATTATATAATTTATATTTTTAATTACATTATTTTGATATAATTCAAATATAAATAATAACATTCAAAATAATTAAATATTACAAATTTTTCTACTAATAATTATAATTATAATTGCAATATAAGTTATTTTTATTATTTATCCATTAATAATATAAACAGTGTATCCAATCAAAAATCAAAGAAATCAAAAAACTAAGAAATGAAAATATCGAAAAAGTAATAACTTGGTGCAATATTTACTATTTTAAATACTTTATTAATAAAAAAAATCAATAATTATAATAATTGAAAAAATATTCAACAATATTTTGTTGAAAATTTGTTATAAACATAAAAAAACTAATAATTTTTTATTGAAAAGAGAAATTTAATAAAAATATCATTTGATAAAATTTGGAAAAAATAAATCATATGATAAAAATGTCATTTTTATGTCATATTGCAAAAAATTACAAAATATTTATATAATATGAAATGTATAAATACATAATCAACTTTCTGAATAATTACTTAATAGCACTTATAATTAGAAAATCAATGAATCAAGAAGAATCAATGAACAGTTCATAATTATTTAGAATGAATTTGCTTAAAAATAAAAGAATCAGATTTTATCATAAATATTAAATAAAATAATTCAATAATATAATTATAACAAATAAAATTAATAAAATATTATATAACTTAAAAGAATAAAAATAAATTTAAATCATGGAAAATCTCAAATTTAGTTAAAAAATGAACTTTTTAGAAAGAAATAAATGACATTATTTTAGAATCAAACTATAAAATTTCCTTTTACAGAAATGATTGCATTATATATTGTTATACATAAAATATCAATATTTTAATTAGGATTAAAACTATCAAACAAAATATACAAAAAAAGAATATTTTATTATTTTATAGAATAATATGCTATTTAATTGTTTGTTTTATTGAATATAATGAGAGAAATATAATACGAAGATTTATAACCAATTATTAAAAAAAAAGAAAAAGAAAAATGAATGAAATATTAATTTAAAAATTCTAAAAACGTTATTCAAAAGCAAAATTGTAAATATTATATCTAATATTATTTTAAATATTCTTCATATTTTTGATATATAAATATAATATATGATTATATTTATATTTGAATCTAATAAAAATTAATTGAAACATTGAAAAACATTAAAGAGATAGAGAAAATTTTAGTATATTGCATCTCGATCAGTACTTATCATTTGGATCAACTTGTGCGCGCGCGCGCATACATGCATACTCACACTTAATTTTATATATACATATTAATATTCTATCAAAGCATAAAAAAGGAAAAAGGAATGAATGAGTGGTTCTATTGCACGGAATCACATCGAGTGGAAGCATTTGTGAGTTATTTAACAGCATATCGTACAATCGATGAATGAACTTGATGATGATGATGATGATAATGATGATGATGATGATGATGATGATGATGATGATGATGATGATAATGATGATCATGATGATAATGATGATGATGATGATGATGATAATGATGATCATGATGATAATGATGATGATGATGATGATGATAATGATGATCATGATGATAATGATGATGATGATGATGATGATAATGATGATCATGATGATAATGATGATGATGATGATGATGATGATGATGATGATGATGATGATGATGATGATAATGATGATAATGATGATAATGATGATGATGATGAAATGATGATAGTGATGCTACTGCTGCTGCTGCTGCTGATGATGGTGATAGTAATGCTAATGACGATGACAATGACAATAACGACGACGACAACGATGATGATGATGACGATGATGATATGGTGGTAGTAGGAATGGTAATGATGATAATGACGATGGTGGTGGTGATGATGGTGATTTTGATGATTTTGATGACGACGATGACAATGACGACGATGACGACGACGATGACGACGACGATGACGATGATAATGAGGATGATGAGGATGATGATGATAGTGATGATGGTGATAGTGGTGATGATGGTGGTGATGTTGAAGTAGTGACTATATGATGAGGATGTTGATGATGAAATTAAGGATGAGGATGAATATAATAATGATAATAAGGATAATGGTGATAATAATAACTGGAAAGTAAACGAGAGACAAAACTTCGAAACAGGTGATTACGAATTGAAATTCACTATTTATTTATTATAGAATTTTTATTCAAATTTATTTTATTTCATTTTCTACAAATATATTCCTATATTTCTTTTTATATTTTTTATAATCCCTTTTATTTTTTTTATACATGAATAATTATATGTAAATTAATTATTTTAATCGTTTATTAATTTTTTATATATTTAATGTTTAATGACTTAACCAATTGACAAATATTAAAAATATTAATATAGTTGCTAAAAGAAATATATGTATATCATAAATTAAATTCAAAATATTTTTTACAAAGATTTATTTTTTTTATTATTTTTTTTAATACTATTAAAATTTCTAAAATTAGTAGAATTCAATCATTAAAATATACAAAAATTTAAATTATTTTATAGACACATTTTGAGTTGAGATATCATCTTTAAATTAAGTTTTTTATTTATGGAAAATATATTATTAATTTTGATTTTCGAAATATTTAAATTTTAATACTTTGATTTTATAGAAATATCATTATATCTCTTTTACTAACTATACTATTTCTTTTTTTTTTTTCATTTATTTTGTTACCAGACAAATTAATTACTTAAAACAAAATTATTAATTATATTTTTTATTGCAATAATTTAAATACTATTCTACTAATTATTAATTTGAAACAATATCTTTAATTTTTTAATCGAAATTTTTGATTTCTTGTACTGCATGTTTTTATCCTTAATTTGTAAATTAAGAAAAATGAATAATATAAAGAAATTGATATAATTTAATTATAGATTTTATAAATCACCTATATAAAATGATGGTAGCGTTAAGTTAAAAATTTTATTTTCTCATTTTATTTATAAATATAATTTTTCATTTTACAAATATGTATTAATTATTACACATTTATTTTTTTTAATAGTTCAGATGAATAAGTTATTGCCAACCAATTTATATGGACTGATATTATTTATATGATATGTCAGAATGATAAAAAATATAAGGAAAAATATATCAGTAATGCAAATTAGATACAATCAAAACAAAAATATGGAATATTACTACAAAGTTTAAACGCAACTATAAAGAAGATAAATAAATGCGATACAATTACTAGTAAGCTAATTCTTTATTTTAATATGATATATGATATAAAAATAAATTAATTTTCTTAATGCTTTTGTTTATAGATATTATTCATCGTTAAATTCAATTGATTCATTATCCGGCCAAAAATATAATTTATCTATCAAGATAAAAAAAGATTACATAATATATAATGTATTAATGGTAATTATCAATGGTTTTGTTAAAATTCGAAAAATAAAAAGATGTCAAACTTTATTTGCAGTGCCAACTTACTTACTTTATTTGCAGATCGTATTTATGATATATAAAATACACAAATCTATACAAAAAGCTAACAAACTGAATCAAAGGTATTGAAATTATCATATTTGAAAATAATGTTTGTATGAAATATTTTTAATAAAATATATTATTATTTAAATATAAGATTAACTTACTATATGTACCCTTATCATATTTTAATATTTAAATTTTTTTAATTTATTTAAGGAAAGTATAGTTGATTGATTGATTATTGATTACTTATCACAAAAAATGAGCAGATTTAAATTTGTTCAAAATTTTATTATTTATAGCTGAGTATTTTTTTATATTGAATCGATATAAAAAAGAAATTGATATAAAAAAGATATAAAATAGAAAGATATAAAAGATAAAAAAGAAAGATGTAAAATATAAAAAAAACAATATATTGAAAAAAAGATGTATTTGAAAAATTCATAAAAAATATACATGATTTTCACAATATTTACTGAAAATATATATTTTTGTAATTGTATATATGTGTATTTGCATATATGTTAATTTATTTTGAATTAAAATATCATTATACTATAAACGAACCATTAAAATATATTTTAATAGTTTTATGCGACAAAATATGCTATATCATTTTACTTACATTTACAAATATTTAAATACAATGTAATAAGGACATGGTGACGATCGATAATTATGATTATTATAAAAATAAACACATGAAATAAAAAAAAAATATATATTAAAATTCAAGTTATTATAAAATCTTAAATATATTTTCCTCTCAATTTTTCTCGCGGACAATAATGATAAACATTCTTTGATATAATTTGATATATTAATTTTAAATTTAAATTATATCTATATAATTATATATATATATAAAAATAATAAAAATTAAAAACAATAGTTAAGATAAAAAATAATTATGTATTTATTTAATTATTTATATTTGAAGTAAATTTGGAAAAAATAATGAAGAAAATATTTATAATGAAATTGTTAAAATATGTAACTTTTGTCTTCTGAGTAATTTAATGAATAAAATTCAAAAATATTTTATATTTAAGAATATAATTAATTCAAAATCTACATTCATATAAACATTATAGGTTATTTTGATGTTATATTATATATATAATTCATATTTTAGATCTAACCTAACTAAAATCTAACTTATTGAAACTTAAATATAAATTAAATATAATTTATAATTTAAACCAAACTTTAATTTAGATATGATCTAAGCAAAAATATATCTAAATTTAATTATAATCAAGAATTAATAATATATTATGAATATAATACAATAGAATTTATTTTGCTCTTCTGCTAAATGATCATTCACGTGTATTCATTTATTATTTATAATTATGATTTGATTGGATGAATTATAGATTAAATCAATATGGCACAAAATAGATTATGTATTTTATTAATAAATTTATAACATTTGAATGAGTTAAATTTTAAAACTTATATTTTTTATTTTAATTTTTAATTAATATTATTGGAAAGTATAAAATAAATTACAGATTTTTAATTTTCCAAAATGAAGTTTAATATTTAATAAAATAATAAATAAATTACTTTTATAAAATTATTAATTTAGATGATAACTAATGATAATTAATGGCGAAAATATAATTCTACATAATAATATGAGACATATTATTAAATTTTCTATAATATTAAAAATTAAAATTATTTTATTCCAATTAAACTATTTATCTATTATCTATTGATTCTCTATTATTATATTATTCTTTTTCCTGTATTATTAAATAAATAATAACAAATATATATATATTCTTTTTAGAATATACTTTCTTAAATCAAAAATTCATGAATATAAAACTGTATAATAGAAAGAGACCTTAATAATTTTCTACCAATGATAGACATATATATATACATACAGAAAAGGTTAATAATTATTAATTATTATACATATAAAAATATCAACATAAAAAAAAAATGGTGAAATTGACGAATAATAATGACGGAATGACAAACGAAACTAACTTATCGATATGGCTGATTCATCGGGTGACCACCCCACTACAAGTTCGCTTTATGTTTAAACTGGACGTAGAAGTGTCGAGACCGTCGTAAAAGACGGTGAATTTTTAGTCGATCCTTCATAGCAGAAAGAATGGCGCTAACACTTAGTAAATTTGTGACTAAACGCACAGTGACTAGTGTTTGTGCATTATCTACATTAATATGGATATTAAAAAGAAGAAACCGGAAACAGGTTGCAAAATACAGGTAAATTCTTTATGCATATATATATATATATATGTAATTAATTATCGTGTAGTATTAAACATTTACTTCATTTTGTAGAAATATTTGGCCTGTTGAAGATATACAATATATTATTAAAGAGGTGAGCAAAAATGATTTCTTATAATTGTATATTTTGAATGTTAAATATCTGCAAATAATCTTTTCAGGAAAAACCAAAAGGACCTAAAGCTCATGTAAATGCGAGATTTTTTCGACAATTATATCAATTGCTTAAAATTGGTATACCCTCAATAGTATCTTCTGAATTTGCCTTTGTTCTCCTTATCGCAGGTACACTTATTACAAAATCTTTTTGTGATCTCTGGATGATAAATATGGGCACTTTAATTGAATCGTATGTAATTTATTTCAATCTTTGTTTGATCTTGATAAAATTACAAAGCTTAAAATTTAGCAAGTTTTATTTTGTATTATAGATCAATTCTTAAAATGGATAAATCTTTATTTAAAAGGCGTCTACTTAAATTCTTAATTGTATTACCAATGGTAAGTAAATAAATTTAATGAAAAAAAAATTAGAAGTTGCTTTCAGAGGCTGCTAATGAAATCTTTTCATTCAGGCTGCCAAGCAGCTTTATTTTCTTACCAATTGGAAGAAATTATTGATATAATCTTCCATGATTATATTTATTTAGATATCTATTGTGAACAACGTACTGAAATATAGTATATATGAAATGAAGCTAAGGTTACGCACAAATATTACACGAAGTTTATTGGATCAATATCTTAAGTAAGTTTTTTTCTTTTTTTATAAATTTAATAATAATAAATAGTAAATAAAATTTTTAGAAACATAATTTTTTATAATATTTATAGATTTTAAAAAATAATATAACAATATAAATAATAATATATAAATTATTAATAAGTTTTCATTCATAAAAAAATAATATTTATTATTATTACAGTGGTTTTATTTATTATAAAATGAATAATTTAGATAATCGTATAGCAAATCCAGATCAACTTTTAACTACTGATGTTGATAAATTTTGTGAAAGCTGCACAGATCTGTATAGTAATCTTACTAAACCTTTGTTAGATATTATCATTTATGTTTATAGACTCACATCTACTCTTGGTAGTGAAGTATGTATAACATAAATATTATAAATGTAATAATATAAATGTAATATATTTATAATAATATATATGGATTTTACAGACTCCAGTAATTATGCTTTCATATCTCATTTTTGCTGGTATGATAATAACTTATTTGCGTAAACCTATCGGTCAAATGACAGTAAAAGAACAACGTTTAGAGGGTGAATATCGTCATATTAATTCAAGAATAATCACTAATTCTGAGGAAATAGCATTTTACCAAGGAAATAACCGAGAAAAGTTAATTTTATTAACTAGTTTTCATAAACTTGTAAGCTATAAAAAATCAAATATATCAAATATTTTGTTAAAATTTTATCATTATAATTAATATATAAAATTCAAACTAATTTTCTATCAAGCTATTTCAATCAAACATTGAAATTATAAACGTTAATATATAATGCAAAAAAAAGAAATACTTTTTTCTTTTAGATAATACATCTTCGCAAATATCTAGAGTTCAGAACTTTCATAGGAATAATTGATAATTTTGTTGGTAAATGTAAGATATCACACAATATATTATATATATTGTAATTATTTATAGTGATTATATTTAATATAATCTTAATTTGATGCTTTTATTTTAGATATGGGAACTGTAATTGGTTTCTATGCAGTGAGCTTACCTTTCTTTATAGAAAATCATCCTATTCTCACAGGAACTCCTAATCATCGATTTAGGAGTTATTATACATATGGTCGTATGTTAGTAAAATTGGCAGAAGCTATTGGTAGATTAGTTTTAGCTGGAAGAGAAATGACGCGATTGGCAGGATTTACTGCAAGAGTTAGTGAGATAAAAATCGTTCTTAATGATCTAAAAACAGGAAAATATAAAAGAACAATGGTTTCTGATTTCAAAAATGAGCCGATTGGAACTCCAGGCATAGGAAAAATAATAAATAAAGACAATATCATAAAATTCGACCATGTACCTCTGATAACACCTAATGGAGATATTCTTATCAAAGAACTATCATTTGAAGTTAAATCAGGAATGAATGTGTTAGTTTGTGGTCCAAATGGTTGTGGAAAAAGTTCATTGTTTAGAATTCTTGGAGAAGTAAGTTTTATGATATTTTTAATCGAAATTAAATAAATTTTATTCGAATTATAATTATCCAATTTAGATTGGATTCAATTTAGATGTATTTGATCTCAAGAAAATATCAGAAGTATATTATGATAAAATGATAAATTGAAAAATAGAGATATTTCATTTTTTAATATTTATTATTCTCAATCATGGACCAAACATTAGATCAAAAAAGTTACATTTGATTTTAATTTTCGTGAAATACCTATTCGTAAATTTACAATATAAATACAAATGAATCTTTAAATAAATAAAAAAATTATTCATTCTATTTATTAAAAAATAAGTCGAAAATTTTATTCAAATAAAAATTCAATTCAAATGATGTTCAATTTTCTTAATGATAATTTAATTATTATTTTATGCTCTGTCAAATGTATTGTTCAAATTATAAAAAATTAAATTAAAACAGTTATGGCCAATTTGGAATGGAACAATTATCAAACCTCCTCGAGGAAAATTATTCTACATTCCTCAGCGTCCTTATATGACTTTGGGTACACTGAGAGATCAAATAATTTATCCTCATACCAAAACGGAAATGATACGGCGCGGACAAATGACTGATACTGATTTGAAGAAATTATTAGATCTCGTTCAATTGGGTCATCTATTAGAAAGAGAAAATCTTACAAGTAGTGAAGGACAAGGTTGGGATGTTGTAGCTGATTGGATGGATGTTTTGTCTGGTGGTGAAAAACAACGTATAGCTGTACATACAATGTTTTTTTATTTATTATGATAATGAAAAGGTTTTTTGTTATTGATTGCAAAAATTCATAATACTAATTAAATATGATTTTTCTAGATGGCTCGGCTTTTCTATCATAAACCACAATTTGCAATTTTAGATGAATGTACAAGTGCTGTTAGTGTTGATGTCGAGGATTCAATGTACTTGTACTGCAAACAAACTAATATTACATTATTCACAGTATCACATCGACGGTCTCTTTGGAAACATCATGAGGTTTGCAAAAAATTTTCTATTTAAAAATTATTTAATAAATATTTAATTTATATTAATATTTATTTTTAGTATTATTTGCGAATGGATGGAAGAGGTAATTATGAATTTAAGACTATCGAAGCGGATACAAAAGAATTTGGATCATGAATTTCCATGTCTCTTGCATTTAATAATATTTTAATAATGTAAGGAATTGTCAATTTACATTCGATTAATTTCGAATAATTTAAATGTAAATTTGCAGTGTATAGCATATATATATTGTATGTATTGTATCTTTCTTTGATTAGAATCTAGATTTACAAATAATCATACTGTATATTTTTATATATCGTATTTTTATATACTATATATTTTTATATCATTATTTTTTTATGAAAAATGATAAGAAATAACAAAAAAAATTAGTATACACTGCAATTTAGGCCTTAATGTAATTAATTTAAAAAAAAATTAATATGTGATTTAAATATTATTGTACATTTGTTCTTCCAATATTATTGAAAAAAGGAAGAAAAATTTATGGGAACATAATTTTTCGGATGTAAATTTAAGCTATCATAAAAATAACATATTTTTGATACAATTTTTCAAAGTTACATCATATAAAATGTTAAATTGTATCATATATGCATTAAAAATATCTAATTAATTAATATATTTGAATGTGTGTATAACATGGTAGTTTGAATATAATTTAAATCATTTTCTATTTTAATGGTCAGTAATAAAATTATGATTTATTATGTGTTGATCACATTAAAAAAATTGCCAGAATTTATATCAAATTGCTGGACAATAAGAATGTGAAATAAAGCTCAGTGATATAAAATCTTATTATATTGCTTATTATTAACTCTTAAAAATTGTATATATTAAAAGAAATTCTTTAATAAAATCCTCAATATTTATTAATAATATTATTTTCATAAATCATATTGAAAAAATTATTTAATAAAATTAATTAAAATTAAAATACAAAAAAATATTTGAAATATTTGAATATTTAAATTTCCCGCTCTTTCAAAATTCAGACGTCTGCCCGAGTTGATGTTGCCATATTGGTTGACCATTGATCTGTCGGGGAAACTAGTTGGAAATTATTAGCAAATGTTTAAGTTTTTAATTGTTCAATTGATACTAATTTCTTATAAAGCTTATCCAGTTAAAATTTTGTTTGCAATGTGTGAGAAGATAAAAATAAAATATAGAGCATATTTGTAATCAATAAAAAAAAAAGAATTATAACGTGTATGTATATAGTAATGAGAAAAAATAGTGTCAGTGAACTAAAATAATTTAAAAAAAAATTATTTTTGAATATATTCCTAAAATTAATCATATGCAATATGTCAAGAATCTCATAAATCTTTTTTTTTCATTTAATTCATTTCTATCTTTTTGTCTTTCTTTTTCTCTTTCTTTCTTTATGTTTCTTTACTTATCTGATCGTTTCTCTTTCCTCGTCTCTCCTTGCCATTGTGTTTCGCTGAATCGTTCCTCGTGGCGTTCGCGTTCCCGAAGACACCGTGGCCAGACCTCGCGGCACTGCGATTGTGCGACGTGAACGAGTGTGTGTCGAATAGCTAGGACGCCGAGAGTACAGGTGCAGGTGCGGGTGCGTGTATAGTGTAGTCGTACGGGACGCGAAGACGTGGGTCTGAACGAAGTAGGCGTGCGAAGTTGGCGACACGGTTCCATTGGTGTCGATAGTTGCAGAATGAACGGTAACACGGATCCACCGTCGGACGTGACAGCAATGGATAGTGAGAATAATAAAAGATCAAAGACTCAACGAAATTCTAATGATATGACTAATACTGCATCATCCGGGACGACTACCTCTAGTGCCACATATTCTACGACGCAATCTGATCAACCAAGAGAATATTGCAGTCAACGCTCAATAAGGGCTGGCTCAGCTTCTCCACTCCCTACAAATTCCTCCTCGTTGTCTTCTTCATCGTCATCGTTATCGTCCTCCTCCTCCACACCGCCACTACAGCCGGGGTG